TAGTAAATATAGTTTTTACTTAATAATAATATTATCTAAAAGTGTGAAATTAATACAGAATTTTAAAAGATTTAAAACTTAATAAATTATTCTAATTAAAATTTTTAAAAAAATGAAAGCAAATTTTTTTAAAAAAAATAGTGTCCTTAATATATCTTATTTGTAGAAGCAGTTAAAACCTTTTCTAATTAAATAATGATATAGTTTCAATTTCAAACTTATTCAAAATGCGCTTTTCAGGTTTTTAGAAAGTTTGTGGTGATATCTACTAGGGCACCCAGCCAGTTAAATACCACTTTTAATTCATAACTGACTAAGCAGTAGGTTGCCATTTCTTTCTGAGGTAGATTGGTTGCCAACCCAGTCTGTCCTGCTATTTTAGTACCATGTTTGTAAGATAAAAAAATCTGTTTTTAAATTCAAATTATTAGAAAACCTAATTTCTCCTGGTCTTGTCTGGTGTAAGGTATTTTAAACATTTATCTTATCTAAAAAAAAAAAAAAAAATGAAATATCTTTGACCTTAACCAACAGAAATATTCTTATTTTTATACAAAACATTTTTTTAAAACTGTGTCTAATTCTGTTTCTTCTGGCAAATAAATCACTTAAATGAAATAGGTATGTAATTCAATTAGTTTAAGTGGTTTGTAACTATGTTTTGACACAAATGGAGTAATCTGTGTGGAAAAAACTTATTGTTTTGTTTTTGTAGGTAAGTATTTATCTGTACACCAATATCGCAACAGAATGTGACATATGGTTGGTGTTTAATGTGGAATTTCTGAAAAGCTGTACAAAAAATTGCTCAAGCCCAGTGGTTGGCTTCAGGACCCAGTGGTGTCAGAGCTGGTCTTTGTTGTTCTGTGTGTGAAGAGTGAGGTGAGATTAGTGCAGCTAAGATGAGGTTGTAGTGACAATGTCAAGGTGTTATAAATCATGAGGGTTGGCTTTGGGGGCCTGGTGAGATTAGTAAAGCCAGAGTGAGGTTGTGGTTGTGATGATAGAAGCAGTCATGGAGTGTGTCAGCAGGTGGCTTTTCAGCCTGCAACTGTGTTAGACGTTACAAGAGGCCTGCTTTTAAGCAAATCTGGCAGTCTCCAGTGTCATCTCCTTTTCTAGTGGGAACATTCACGATTGGCCACTGCATCACTTTCATTACAGTGACTTGCTTCATGGCCAGACATGATGCTCAGAGCCTATGTGCAGAAAACGACTTCTTTATTTTGTGTGTTCTGTCTTCTTGGCATTCACAATCAGCCATCATACAAAATAAATCAGAGATCTAATTGCAGCCTGAGTATAACAATGGTTTTGTATATATATATTTTTTTTTTAAATAGTGACATTTTTTATTTTTCTAACATTATGTGCTTTGCTGCCTTAATAAACAAAACAGAGTTGGTAACAATTGTGACAGAGAGAGTTTGGGAAACACACACACACGTATATTTTTTTTAGTGAAATTGGAGAAGATTTGAATAGGGAATTTAGTTCAGAGCATTTTATTTACTGATGGGGAAATTTGATCTAGGCCAAAAGTTGTACCCATTGAATCTGGGTCATCAGTAGACAATGGAAATGGCTGAAACAATTTTTATCTATTAAACATTGAAATAGAGCTGAGTAAGCTAGAAGGAACTTTGAAATTCACATGCTTTTGGTTGAAGCAGCCAGAACGCCGTGATAATCGCGTGGAAAGTAGTAGGGCCAAGGTTCAGTTGTAACCAGCTGGATTTTTCTATATAAATGTGTAGTTATGCTGAAGAAGCAGCAGACAGGAGAGTGTGCAGACGGAAGAGGTAAATGGAAGAGAGAAGAGAATTAGCCCGGGCAAGAGTTGGGCTAGAGACAGTGGAGAGTCGAGTTGGAGACTCAAGAAGGAGAGAAAGTGACGTCAGAGATTGGAATGAAGCATCCGCTAACATGTGCTGTTGATATAAGTACTGCAGCTTCTGCTACCATGAATATTACTACTACTGTTACTAGTGCTAAGGAGGAATGCCCAGTTAACAGAGCTCTTCCTTTGGGTAGAGAGACTGTGCATCTAAGTATGAACGCAAAGTTGGTAAAGCTTTCTTGGCATCTTCTTTTCAATTTTTTCTTTTAGAATCTGTCATTATCATCATTTTGTTTGTATGTTGGGCCGAGAAAATCTAACTAAAATATGTCAACTTATCTCAGTAATTGGCATCATTTGGCCACCTTCATAATGATGGTGGCAACATAACATACAATGCACCTGTAACCATTGAAACAGTCTAAACAGGGTTCTATCTAGCTGAAATAGTTTGGTATATGGAAGTGGAAGTTTTGTTAATTGGTAAAGGATTAAGTTGGATTGGGGAGATGTGTGAAACACGCCATTGCTCTAAAACATGGTCAATGTATCTAAAAGACTAGACTGAATACGGTCTTCTCATGTCTGTCCATGTTGATTCTAATTACTTTGAATAATAATTTCAGAATTTATCAACCATGTCAAGTTTAGCAATAGTTCTATAAAAAGTAAGTATCCTTCCTGTCATCCTCTTCATCTAAATTGGATCAAATATACCACTAAATCATCTTATTTAGCTGTTTGTTTCTCACCTTGAGGTACCTGAAATGATTAGGAGTGAGTGTCTCTTATTGTATGCCAGAAGAAAAGCAAACATGTGACATTCAGAAAATTTGTAGACAAGAATTTTTAATATAAAATTTTTTGTATTGTCGATACAGAGGATGTGAGTGGAATATCTTTTTGTGGGCAAGGGAAGCGACTTACAGGTGGTTTAGTTGGTAGGGCCTGCAGTTGATGCGTTTGTCAGAGTGATTAACCAAGCTGTGGTCATGCTGAGAGCTTGACGAGCATCAACAGCTGGTCCATTTGTCAAGATTCTGTCTCATTCATTTATAAGTGGTTTTCTTAAAAGCAAATTGTGGTACTCCTGGATTCATTTTTTCTTTATATTTTTCTTTGGCAGTAACATCTTTGATTGGCTTTGTTTGTATTGTATTTTATATTTTTTTGAGGAAATTTGTTTTGTGGACTTGATGTGATGCTTGGAGCTCCTGCACAAGGACAACTTTTATTTTTGATTTTGCTTTCTTAGTGTTCATATCTGGCCAACATGTACAGTGAATCAGAAAAAGATCTAATTTGAAGCAGAATATAACAGTAAGCTCATTAACCATTACCCCAAATCAACACTCCTCTAACCCATGGGAAGTTAAAGAAATTTGATAATTGTTAATAAAATATCCCAAGCTCTCTCCTCAGAATATTTTTGTCAAAATCCTCATCTGACTCAGAGATCCCAATATACCATCTCCTTTGATCACAGATCCATGGCAATCACAGCACCAAATATACCAGATCTTTATCCTGGTAATCATGGCACCAGATATACTACCTTAAATCCCATAGATCTGTATAATTATGACACCAGATATACAAGAGCCTGGTAATCAAAGCACAAGATATACCACCTCATTTCCCATAGATCCATATAATCAAGACAGCAAATATACCACCTCCTTTGATCTGTGGCAACTCAACGTACCCCCATGGTGGGGTGGGGGATGACATTGCCTTATTCTTCTATATTTGTATAGGTTTCCTATAAAATGATATTGTTCCTGACAGTGATGCTATAGTCGGGCTTTCTTTAGAAAACTTTGTATCTCACAGCAGAAATGAATTTCACTGTGGGACTGTGGTAACTCTTTTCTCCAGGATCCAAGGCTTGAGTGTAAAGTATGGATGTGAGATTGCTAAAAACTTTGATTGTGTGTTCATCAAAAAATTAGCAGTGGCATGGATTTTGACTGCAGTCAACAAGAACTGGAACAAAAATAAATTAAGCATTTTGGCTGTCTAGATTTATTAAGAATCCAGCCATTTCCATCAATGAATAAAATTTGAGAATGCACAAACCTGTCATCAATTCATCCTTTTGCAAGGGTTCCCAGACTCCATGAATTCAAGTGCCCTACGAGGCTGGCATCCCGCTCCCACCCTTACACCATAGAAACTTTCAAATGTAGCCGTCTCTTCTATTCCAATAGCTTCATACCTCGCACCTCTCACCAGTGGAACACCCTCTCCAGTTACTGCTTCCCTGAAGGCTATAATCTCCAACTATTCAAATGTAATGTCAATCGACATCTCCAGTTACCTTGATCTACTCACTATCCTTCTCCTCATCCTTTCTCCTATCACTCCTATCTGCTCTCGCTCCAAATCTTCCGCAACCCCCTGCATCCTAGTGGCTTCATGCCTTGCTTGGGGCGTAATGCTTAAAAAAAAAAAAAAAAAGTGTGTAAGCTTGGGAAACCTCTAAGTTTTAATGATTTTTGGTTAAGTCATTTCAGTCCACTCAGGGCTGTCATTCATATCATTTTATAGGTTTAAATCCATATTTTTACCTTGTTTTTCTTCTCTGTATATCAAAGGCCACTCATTTATCTTCCAACTTTTTCTCTCTCCCATTTGCAACTAGATCCTGCCTTACATCACCATTCATCCATCACATGCACAAATAAATATCAGTTCGCCCTGATATACCTAGATGGTATGTATTCAAATCCAGCTTGGACTCCAGTTCACAATCCCTCAGAATAACAATAAAAATTTTTTTGACAAATGAAAAGACAATATATAGAATATAGAGATATGATAGGATAAGGAAAAAAGAGGAAACATTTATAAATTTAACATTTTGCTTTTATTTAACCATCATCAGAATTTCTTTTTTTAAATAAATTCTCGAAGAGAAAGTTACAGTACATTTAGTTTTGTATTGTTTGTTTTTCATTGGTCATACATATCATATGTCTTTGTCTTCTGTGCACGTGTGTGTGCATCTGGATTCTAGTGGGAATTTTTGTGTCAGTCTGGTGTATAATACCTTAAGATGGCTGTGGAATGTTGGTGTACACACATGTTTGTGTATCTTATTTCTAGTTGGTCTTGTGGGATAATGTGTGAGTGTCTAGTGAACATTTTTTATTATGTCTCATAAAGTCCGTATTTTGAAAGCTGTATAAAGTATAAAAAGATATAAACAGACAATTGTATATATGTAAGGATTTATTATCAAAATACACAACAATATCTATAAGCAAAGAAGGATTAGATACCAAGTTAAAAAAAGGAATAAGTAAAAACTGAAAAAAGAAACATTTTCCAAAATGCGATAAAAATTGTTGTAGAATTGACTATAAGTGGAGGTGGGATAGACTATCAGAAAAAAGATGAGATGTTTATTATAAAGTTCCAAGTAAAGAGGGTGGAGTCAGGCAGCAGAGAAATGTATTTCTCCAAGGGAAGAGGGTGGAATAAAATAACGGAAACTTCAGGAAGAAGTCAAACAGCAGAGAGAGATATCCTCCATGATAGGAGAATGAAATCAAATAGCAGTGAAACTTAATTCTACATGTAAATAGAATGAAATGGAAGAGCAGGATGATTTATTCCTTCATCGAAAGAGAATGAAGTCAAATAGCAGGAAACCATATTCCTTCATGTAAACTAAATGGAATCAAATAGTGAGACATATTCAATTATGGAAAGAGAATGAAATTAAATAAGAGGGAGGCTTATTCCTCCATGGAAAGAAAATGACAAAAGTAACAGGATAAATATTTATTAGTAAGGATTTATTATCAAAATGCACTACAATAAGCAGTGAAAGATTGATGACATTAAAAAAGAAGTAACAGCTTAATGAAAAAATATTTTCAAAAATGTGATAAAAATTGTGGTAGAATTCTTTTTTTTTTTTCTATAATACTAATCACTTTATAGGTGGGATTGTTTTCATAAGAGTTTTCCAAGAGGGTGGAGACAAAAAACAGGGAAACTTCTCCAAATGAAGAGAGTAGAATGAAATAACAGGAGACTTATTCCTTCATGAAAAGAGAATGAAATCAAGTAGCAGGGAGACTTATTCCTCCGTAAGAAGAGGCTAGCAGGGGGACATGAAACTTACCTTTCCCAGTCACTCTGACAAGAATTTAATATGGACAGCAAATAGAATAAATCTCCACTGAAAGATTACTTGTTGATACTTTTAATATAATTTTTGATTCTTTCTTTCTCCTCATCACTCAAAGTGTTTATCCAATAAGTATTGAAGCTGTATTTTACACAGTTGTCTATTTTTTTTTCTTTGATAAGCTTAGCAAAGAATTTCAGCCACTCTAGCATTAACTGCTCCTGATTGATCTCTCTGAGGAAATGAAGAATCCTTGTAATTACCATAGATGTTCTAGGCCTGCAAATAAAAGAAACAAAGGTAATTCAATAAAAACAAATGGAATGCTTAAATGAAAAAGATTAACTATAAAATAAATATATGAAGGTTTGCTGAAAATTTCTTAGTTTAATCAAGAAGAACTTCCTTAAACAATTCTGACATTTGTTCCAATGTTTGAAAATGGGTTCAGCTCAGTGGTGTATCTAGGTTATTGCAAGAAAGGGCATATGTCATGGGAAGCCCTGACACTACAGAATACAATGTTATAGTAATTACACAATAAGCACTAAATGATCTTGCAACATTTGAAACTGACAGACTATCAATGTCAAGTAGTTGTGATTGACAAATTTGTATCAGTGAGAGAAAAGAAGATGCAGTTTTAGGTTTAATCAGTACTTTCCTTAAGTTTATGCATCCACTTGTCTTCTTCTCACAGTACAGTTTGTTTGTTTAATGTTTAATGACCTATCAATTTTTATGAGATCACTCACAGTACGGATGCAATAACTTATTACAATATATCTTCTGCTGCTGCTATTATACATTTATAATTTTTCAAAGAAAAACTTCAAAATTATCAAAAATACTCATCTTGTCAGAGTAATATTTTATTGATATTGAAATGATAATAACTTTTTAGTGTCATTATATGTTAAAAGATCATCATATGTTAAAATATCATTATATGTTAACAGATCATCATATGTTTAAAGATCATAATCTGTTAAAAGATCATATATTAAAAGGTATCTTTTTGTAATATCATTATATTTATATTTTACTACTTTTTCTCAATTAAAAATTTAAATGAGAAAGCGTCTTTTCATATAGTCTGAGGTCATTTACTTTGAAAGATTTGGTTTTTGTCATAAATTCATGAAAGAATATAATGAATGCAAGAAGATGTAGAAGTCTAGCTGTTCAAGATAACTTTCATTTTTTGATTTGATAAGAAAGACTGAATCAATTCAAAAAATTCATCCAGAAATAACATAACCTTTCAATTTATCAAGAAGACCAATATGCCAAACCTTGTCAAATGCCTTTGAGATCTCCAAAGTAATATATATATATATATATATATATATATGATCGAAATAAAAGTGTAAAATTTAATATTACAAGACATATTAAAACAATGTTAAATAATAAAAAAAAACACTCAACAACAAGGTGGGGGGGAAAACGGTTTCGCTCCCACTCATCAAACTCCAATGGAGATTCAAAATTAAAACAGAGAAAGGTACAATCAGAATAGGTGGAAAAAAAAAAAAAAAATATATGTACATATATATACCTGTATATATGCAAGAAGGAACTAGAGGCAGATGATATAAAAGTCCCAGCAAACACTCATGTTGTTTGCTCAAAAGAAGGCTTCTGGGAATCGATGTAAAGCGCCTCAGAACCTTAAGATGAAATACGGAGGTGACCAGGCCAACACGGTGAACCAGTTGACACTGAATTTGGCAGCACAATCTCTGCTATTTAAAAGATGTTCATATATGGCGGAACTGTAGGTGTTAGGGAGGACGAGTCCATTTGAAGGCAATGTGTGGTTTCCTGATTTTAGTAGGGCATGCTGCTTTATTCTAATGTCTAAGCGCTGAGTTGTTCTTTACATCGAAGTCCCATAAGCCTTCTTTGTGCAAACAACGTAGTGTTTGCTGGGACTATTGTCATCTGCCTCTAGTTCCTTCTTGCATATATATACAGGTATTATATATATACATATATATATTTTTTTTTTTTTTTCAAAATATTCTGATAAATTTTTTCTGTTTTAATTTTGAATATATGTTTTTTGAAGGGGATGAAATTCTCATTAAACTCCCCAAAATATGTTGAAATTTTTTAAAATTATTTAATATTGTTTTTTAATATGTCTTGTAATATTAAATTTAATATTTTTATTTCGATCATTAAATTTTTAAAAAAAAATATCTTTTAAATATCTAAAAATCAGGTACAGCCATAATTTAATTAGTAAATTAAATAAAATATTACAGATTAAGTTTAAATTGAGAACTGTTGAATTGAAATTAAAATCTTCAACAATGTATCCGCTTCCAGGTTTGCCCCTCTTTCATTCAGTTCAGAGTGAGGAGGGCTAAGTTACACCCTAGTTGGAATATTGAGTTCGTCTTTATCAAAGATTGGATTAAACATCTTTCCTCTAAAAGCCTGTGCCTTAAGCGTGATTACAGGAGATTATTATGTACGCATATGAATTCAGTTTCATTTTTTGATTGGATTAGGTTCTCTAGGTTTTTGGGATTGGTCCATCAATGGCAGTGTGTTAAATTATCTACAAAGCAAGATGCCAAGTTGAATAGTTTGGTTCAGAAGAAATACGGAGTCACTTCTGAACCTAATTTAAATAATATTATTAATCTGTCCACGCATGAACTAACTGAGTTAGAATCGTTTGTTTTTTTCTCACGGGTTGGACTTCTCCATTCCTCCTTCTATGCTTGACAAGGAGAAGATTTTTCGAGTTAAGGGTTTTCTATGCTCAGTTGGCTAGACTCTCTCCCACCTCTGTGACGTGGTTACAAATTTGAAAGCCCAGTTGAATAATTTCGCTCACACCTTTTCCTGCTCCTCTGTCACAACTGCCGAATCCAAATGGAAAGCAGAACATCAGCGTGTTGTTAACTCTCTGAGGAATAACTATAACTTGATAATTTCCAGACCTGATAAAGGTGCTGGTGTAGTTATTTTAGATCGAGCAGACTATATAAACAAAATGTCTTCTATCTTAGAAGACACTTCAAAATTTACTAGACTTGGTTCCGCTGACACCTGTGATGGAACCTCCTCATGTGAAGCGAAATTTCAAAAATCACTTTTAAAGTGGGTTAAATCAGGGTTACTTCCAAAGGAAATTGCTAACGAAATCCGTCCTTCCGGTTCGATTCGTCCCCGATTATATGGTCTCCCGAAAATGCATAAGGAAGGTGTACCTTTGCGACCAATTTTGTCCATGATCAGGTCAGCCCAACACAAAGTAGCCCAATGGCTCTCCACACTTTTGGATCCTGTGTTGCGGTGCCTGGATGGTTTTTGTATCAAGGATTCCTTTTCCTTTGTTGACCGCGTGTGAAATTTATCTTCTTCTGGCAAGTTCATGTGCTCTTTCGATGTTTCTTCCTTATATACTTGTGTCCCTTTGATGGAAACCATCGATATTTGCTGCGACTATCTCTATCGCAGTTCATTAACTCCACCTAGTTTTCCTGAGTCAATTTTTCGGGAATTGATGAGATTTGCCACGTCATCCGTCGAATTCAGTTTCAACAACACTATGTACCGACAGATCGACGGAGTTATATGGGCTCGCCTTTGGGTCCGGCACTTGCTAACATATTTGTGGGCTTCCAGGAAGAAAAGATCTGAAAGAATTCACTTTGTCCTCAACTGTACTGTCAGTATGTTGATGACACCTTTTGTTTATTCAACAGTGAAGTTGAAGCTGATCAGTTTCTTTCGTTTTTAAATGGTATACATCCGGCACTGAGGTTCACTATCAAAAAAGAGTCTAATCATCAATTGGCTTTTTTGGATGTATTAGTACATTGTACGTTAACAGGTTTTCTTACTTCCGTTTACAGAAAACCTACTTTTGCAGGGTTATACACGCATTGGGACTCTTTTTGTCCCACTAAGCGCAAGATCAACATTATCAAAACCCTCCTCCACAGAGCATTAAAGATTTGCTCTGAGCCTTTCCTGAACGACGAAATTAACTTTATTAGGGATACACTATGTAATTTGGGTTATCCTCTTGATACTGTTAATTCAGTTATCCGCAGTAAAGTTGAAGAGTTCAGAAGTGCCGATCTTTACACTGTCAAAAAATGCCCTGTTTACCTTAGATTACCTTGGATTGGTACCAAATGTGACAAAATAGCCAAGCAAATTTCATCAAAGGTTCGCTGTTGCTTTTTCTCTGCTGAAGTTCGGATTATTTTTCAAACTCGGCCTATGTTTCGATCTACGTGTAAAGACGTTCTCCCTCCCAACCATATTAATTCAATTGTTTACAAATACGTTTGTAGTTGCGGAGCCAACTACATAGGGAGAACAACTCAGCGCTTAGACATTAGAATAAAGCAGCACGTTCCTACTAAAATCAGAAACCACACATTGCCTTCAAATGGACTCGTCCCGAACACCTACAGTTCCGCCATATGCGAACATCTTTTAAATAGCAGAGATTGTGCTGCCAAATTCAGTGTCGACTGGTTCACCGTGTTGGCCCGGTCACACTCCATATTTCATCTTAAGGTTCTGGAGACGCTTTACATCAGGTCCCGCAAGCCTTCTTTGTGCAAACAACATGAGTGTTTGCTGGGACTTGCTGTCATCTGCCTCTAGTTCCTTCTTGCATATATACAGGTATATATATGTACATATATGTATTTTTTTTTTTTTCCACCTATTCTGATTGTACCTTCTCTGTTTTAATTTTGAATCTCCCGTGGAAGCCTGATGAGCAGGAGCGAAACAGTTGCTTCCCTTGTTGTTGAGTGTTTTTTTTATTATTTAACATTGTTTTAATATATCTTGTAATATTAAATTTTACTCTTTTATTTCGATCATTAAATTTTGTACTTACAAAAATATCTTTAAATATATATATATATATATGAGTGTGTGTGTGCATTAAAATGTTCAAACAGTATTTACATATTTCACTGTTGTGAATTAGGAGCCAACCAATCAAGGTAAAACCAAGTTTACAAAAAATGTGTCTAGAATTAGTTTAACATCTCTTCTGACCAATAATGCCTTGCCTCTAGAGCATTTAAAAATTTAACCCTGTCATAGATTATTTTTAAAGTAACATATTCATCTTTGCTTATTGCAAGGAATTCCAAAAAGAGTAATAATTCTACAAAGGCATCCATAAATATTTCAACAGTGAATACAGATGCTGGTAAGACTCGAACCTGGTCGATATGATTGTGACCTATCTGACAAATGTCATTCTTGAAGATCACCCACTCTAA